TTTCCACCAATTCTTGTCGGTTGCCTCAGTTCAGCTACTGGTGGAGAATCAGCTGGCGCTACGCTATCCCAGCGCCCTGACATGCCCCAGCATACGCAGCGAACAAGACTTTAACGGTTTCAGGAGCTGTTTTATTCGCAAGTAACTTTTCAAGATCATTAGAGCCGCTCCTAATGGTCGGTTTTAATTCAAAGGCAGTAATAGCGAAAACTTGTTAGACTAATCAATAGTAAGGAGCTGAAAAGTTTTTACAAAATAAGAAGTGCCAAGCGTCTCGGGACTAGATGGCAATGCTTTGGTGATGCACAGTCGCAATTTTTACGAACCATCAATTTTTGAAATATAAAAAATGATCCAGAAAATAAAACACCGTTCGCGCAGTTGTTGCCGAAAAACCGAGGAACGAAGAGCAAAGTCAAAATTATTCTCTGGTGGACCACCTGAGTATGAAAGGCAAGCAAGAAGGGAGTTAATCAGAGCAAAAGGCAAACAGTCAACAATAACTAAAGTTCAGTCACTCTCTAATCGACGGTCGGCGACAACCGGCTGTACTCTTACAAAACTTCATAATTATTTCTTATATCAATAAAAAGATAAAAAACAATATGGTAGTTGCTGGAGTCTTTCAAAAAAAAGCGAGCAACCAAGCCTATCACCTACATCTGATAGGATAAGTGTTGCCACACTTACTAATCCATACAGTTCATGACCTCCCAGTCAGATGAGGGGGGAGGCAGGAAGTGCAGAATGAGCCTGCCTCCAGGTGCCTTGCTCTACCAGTGGTGATCGGTTAGTGATCGATTCAGTAAGAAAACATTCATTAGTGAAAACTCCGCATGGGCTCATTCCATCCGTGAGCGACGACGGACAGGACAGCTTTCAACGCGAGCGGAAACAATTGGGCAATCTAGCGCCCTAAAGGCAAAGCCCGCGATCAGATATTCTGGGTAGTGGTGCTAAACTAGCGATGCCAAGATGCCACAAAGTCAATAGTGCAGAAAAAAAGAGAAAAAATGGTCGCAAATGCCCAAA